AAAGATGGAATTAAAAAAAAAAAAGTTTAATCCCTCTCTAGTAACATGTCATCCTGTATCACCAGTTCATTTCCAGCACAGAGTGAAGATTTTCTACAAAAGGATGAACTTCATGGAAGCTTGGGACATTCCTGCAGCACAAGGAGGAACCTCAGTGAGCACTTAGATGGAGAGCTCTCAGGGATGACGTGCAGCAGCAGGTTCACATAGCCATACTATTAGCCCTATAGAAAGATGGGAGCAAGTCCCAGCAAGGTCGTAGAGGTGTCCATCTGTGAACTGCAAGCTGACATTTGAAATGAGAACAATCTATCCCACTGCTGGTCTTATTCCACATTCGGCACATAGTGGAGTGTTTACTTCTCCTGCTGTCAGAGGAAGATAAAAGCCTGTAAATCAATGTAAATTACTCAGACAAAAGGCTACGTATTAATGCAGTCTGTTACAAGTAAATGAGTTGCACTTCTTCCAGCAGTGCTGTAAGCAGTGTTCCTCTGATTCATCAGGAGGAGGATGATAAATTCATTCATTGCTTCAAAAATGCCTGATAATTTATTGGAAGTCCCTTGTTTTTATAGCTCCTAGTTGGAGAAGGGTTGTCTTGTGTATTCCCATATAAATCTCAACCAAAAACTTCAGAGTGTCTTTTTGTTTAGTTCTGGAAAGAATTGTGAGAATCTGGAACCAGATGTGCCAGGGCAAGTTTGTTGTCAGCAGACCAAAGATAAAATTCTTCACTGCCATTACCTCTGTCAGCATCTGTGTGTCTGATTTGAAGCAAACAGAGTGTCATCTTAAGTGCCTTGGTTGATTGTGCTGGAGAAGAGATGCTCCCTCTGCTTGCCATGCTGGCTTTTGAGAACAAAAGCCATTAATAAAACCAAGCCTGTGGTAATCTGGTAGCTCATAGGTAACCTAGAATAGTTTTAATTTCCTTTTGTTTCAGTGACTTGTACTGTTTGTTTCTTGTTGTGTGCGTGACTCCCTTGGGTAACCTGTCTCTTCTAGTCGCCAGAATCCAACCTGTCTCACAAAAGTGGTCCAAGTTTGGGAAATTGCTTCCTTTTTCTCTCCTCTTTACAAAACCTTGTTGCAGGGGCGAGAGGGAGCATCTCATCTGGTGCAACAGCCCTGAAAGTGACTTAGGCTTCTTTGAAGTCTGCAGATGGTGGTTTAAATCTCCTGCTGGTATCCTCAGCCTCTGCCATAATCAGACTTTTCCTGCCTGTGTGTGCAGGCTGGTGTTTACAGGGCTCCTCATGCCATGTGCGTTCAGGTTTCCAGGCTCTGCGAATGCCAGTCCCAACTTTCTGTCTCAAAGGCAGCTGAGGTGTGGGCACCAGACATCTAAGGAGCTGCATTACATTGGAGTGAGGAATCCCACTTTCTTCTCAGCACTTGGCCTGCTGGATCATTACCATGACAAAGGAGGATTCTTAACTTTCATAGTCACGATACCTTTGGTTTGAGGCTCACTTTGATTTGAGGCAGTAGTGTTTGCTGGCCCAGAGAAGCAATGGTTTCCTCCAGGTGAAGACCAAGGAGAGAAACACACTTTTGAGAAGGAGGAGAAAGAGGGAAAGAATTGGCTGAAGAGGCTGAATGAAAGCCATAATGGATGCAGTTAGTTGCTGGGGAGGGCCCAAAAGCAGCCCATGATTCCTTAAGACAATTAAAAGCAAATTGTCCAGCTGAGCGATCCCAGAGCAAGGAAGATGCTCCCCCAAACTATAGTTCAAGGGGCTGAATGGCCCTCAAAAGCTGAGAGCAGAGAGAGAAAAAGAAGATGAGGCAAATGATGGAACAGATGTGAACGCTTTTGTTGGGAAGACTTGGAGGCTAGCAGGACAGTGATAGGCTAATTTGAGGCACATAATGCCAGGTTTCTTTCATATGCAGAATAGCACTTTGATCCAATGTGGATGAAAGTGCTGAAAAGTGGAGAGGATGGCAGGGGGTCTTTTGTCTTTGACAAAAAAGGCATCTGCCAGGCTCTAGCCCCCTTTCCCCCACCCCCTTAGCCTAGCAGGCCACTCCAACAATGCTAGCAAAGGGGACAAGTGTCTCCTGACAGCTGAAGAAACCTCCAGGAGGAGAATGAGGCTTGCAGCAATATGTATACCAGAGAGCTTAATCGATTTTTTCCACACTACAAAAAGAGAGAGGGTTGGGGTAAGACAGAGAGATCACAGTGGAAATGGGAGGTGGGAGGGAAAAAAACCACTTTCTAATAAACTTGTTACTTTTGTTCTCCAAATACATCTTTTCAGGATGTGCTTTGATGCTAGTATGAATACACTTAATGGAGCAGAGTAGGGTAGAGTTGCTGGGGGGGGCAGGGAGGTGTGAAGTATGTAAGGATAGTTTTACAAGGAGGATGAATGTGGGGTGACTTCTATGGATTCCAACACAGGAAAGATTTTGGAATTAGTAAAACAGTGCAATGCAAGAGGTACCTGGAAAGCAGAATCATCCTTTCTCTACCACCTGTTGCAGGAGCTCAGCTCAGCAGAAGCTCTTGGTATTGATTTATAAGCAAAATTGAAAATTTCTCTTCAACCTTTCCTTCTTTTCTGTTGTCTTTGGACTTACTAGAAGTGAAAGCACTGCAGGACTGAATGGGAAGCTAGGAAGGCAAGCAGTATTTGTGCCAAGCAAATACAGCAGTTGCAGATTAACTGCTGATCTGGTCCCTGCTTGTCATGCTCTGTCGACTTTCTTCAGCTTTTCACATTTGGTAAATAAGACTGGGATCTGATCTGCAGAGGTTGATGGCTGTGGTCTTCCTTAAGCATCACTTTGTACCTAGTCTCATGTTTTCTTTGAGAAATAATGACAGATAAGAGTTATCAACCTCTGAGCAAGACCCACCTGAGCAAATTAAGTCCTTCAAGAACAGTAGGTTTAGGAATCTTCCTTCTCTTGAGACGCTGACAGTGTTTATCCATTACTATTTACTGAAGACAGCCTTCTCACCAGGGCACAGCTTTGAGCAACACCTGGTACTGGAAGTAGTTCCTCCCTCTTTACCCCTACACCCCTTTTCTTTCTGCCGGGGAATTACAATCCCCCCAAGAAGGTATGAGTGATACAGAAATGGAGAGAAGCTATCACATTCCTTTGGGAGGCTCTACACACACCAAATTGTAATTCTGTGTAGTTGATCAGTAGGTGTGCCATGATCCCCTTCCAGCAGATGCCACCATTCTGTTAAGAACAGCTGATGTAGAGGGTGGTTTTTGGCAATAGCATCTCCTGTCCTCCAGCTGTGCAAAGCCTGATGACATGAGTTGCCATAAGTCATTAGGGAGGGCTAATTGTCAAGGACATGGATGCTCTTTTGATTTCTGCTCATTTGTCATATCTTGACTTTTCTTGCTCACAGTGCTTGGGCTGTGGTTAAGAATGGTACAGAGAGACTTCAACTGCTGCTGCTGTCGTCAAAGGAGCTGAGACCACCTCTTTCCTGCACAATGCCAAGGCGAAAGTCCCCTCTCTGGGTGAGCTTCAGGTGGTTCTTGTGTGACTTCTCTCTCAGGTGCTATGCACAGTGATAGAAAGCAAGTCTAATCCAAATGGAGAAAGACATTGCTCATGGGGAAGTCTGACCTGGCAGGGAATGGCTCGCTCTCCATAGTCCTCCTTGGCAAAGAAAAAGAGCCTATGCAGTGCCAGGGAAACCCCCTGACCAGGCTATGGGGTCCATGGCAGTCTGCTGGATGCTCTGTCCCCAGGCAGTCGTAGTCAGGATGGGGTGTAGGAGTCTTGGGCGGTGAGCTCGACACTTTGTATGTTATTTGAGGTGAAATATGAACTACCTCATTGCGAAAGGTCTTTTGTGCTTCCCCAGCTTGACAGGCAAGCCCTTCATCTGCTGCCATCCTGAGATTTCTTCACGTGTCCAGTATCAACTCTCCCACCTTCACACCAGAAAGATGTACTCTTACCAAAAACCAGAGAGCTGCTAAAGCTGTCTCACCAGGACAGCTTTGTGTCATGCTCGCATGAGAGGTTAGAGATTGGGGGGGGGAGGGGGGAAGGCCAGTTGCCTCTATTCCTGTGTAAATGTGTGTGGTAATCCTCCATAAATGCAGGTAATTGCAGTTTTGAACCATACTCTCGAGACATTTATTATTTAGCTGTTTGCAGTTCACTGTGTACTAGTTTCTTATGTCCAGTGTGTGGGCACAACGAAAGAAGATGACTGTGTGGCTCAGCCTGGCTGCCGCGGTCTAGGTCTATGTCTGGAGGAGAGACTGAATCTGTTTCACCTGAAGCATGATGCAAGGGAGGAGGGAAGAGATGTGTGTGGAGCAGAGGGTTGCATGCAGAAGCAAGTGGCAGCAGGAGTGCAGGCTGTGGGAGGATAGTGGGGAGAGGAAGATTGGCTTTCTTCTCACATGTCACCCAGCAGGCTGGTGTTTTCTCCACAGAAGCTGGTTACCCTCCTCTGGTTTGTGTTCGGATTAAAATCAAAAGGTAAAGATTGCAAAGTCTCTTCGATGTGCTTACCCTACATTGAGGCAGAGCTCTGGAGACCATCACAAGTCTTATTCCTGTTCTGGGGACAGGAACTGTCTGGTCATTGTTTCAGAGGCTGCGGAGTCTTGAAAGGGCCTTTTTGCTTTAATGGTAAATTGTCCAAGTTGATGCTGCTATGATAGTCAAATAACTTACAAAATAATTCAGTCCCATGGAAGTGCTTTTGGCTGGACTGATTGTACATACAAGATTTGCCTGGCATGACCTAGAGGTCGTGGCTGTACAAACCCCACATTTTCAGAATGGATTTGGCTTATCTCACAGTGAATCTAATCTGTTTATTAACATCCATTAGGGCTTCTCTGCATGGGAAGTGAAGCCAATCAAATGGAAAATGATAGCTTCAGAGTGCAATAAACCTAAACCCCAGCCTGCATGCAAACTTTGTTCAGACATAAAATGGTTTCGATTTGTTTTTGTTTAATTTACTTACAAATTAAACAGAGGTCCTTTGCAAGATGGCCAGTAGTCAGTTTGATGTAACTTTCCTGAGTGTCTACCTGCAGGTATTCTTTTAATCATGTGCAGTTTGTACCAACAAAGTTCATGAACAGCAACATTCACTCCCATCTCATGTTTTTTTAAAAGGACAGGAAATCACTTTGTTGGTAAGGAGTTAAGTACACAGAACCCTCATCAGGCTGCAAAGAGTCACCAGAGCTTAGAAAATAACCCTCCCAAGAGTAGCTTTTGAAATGTGTTTCAAGATCTCAGCAATACCTCTCAGCTTACTTCATTTAGAAATGCAGCAGCAGCAGTAGCAGCAGCCCCCATGCCTGGGGAGGCAGTCAGCCTGGGGGAGAGCGCTGGGCTGCTTCAGGGCTGCTGCCCTCTCGCTCTGCCTGCAGGGAGGGTGGCTGCTGGCAGCTACCATCCTTCCCCAGCCTGCTCCAGAGAGCTATTCCTGTTTGAAATAAACAGGGTCTGTGGGAGAAGCAGGGGTGTTTCTTGCAGATGAGGAAGAAAGGGCAAACAAGGAGAAACCATGCTTAATTTAGGTGGGTGGCTGAGGAGCTGTGGGGATAGGAGCCTGCCAGGCCATAGGGCTCTTTGGTGGTCAGGAAAACTGTCACTTAGGGGAGAAAGATTGCCCCTATTTCAGGCTGTCCCTTTGTATTTTCTGTATTAATCACGTCATGGGCAAAACCTTCCAGAGTTAGGTGTGGTGTGTCAGTTTCCTGTGAGCAGGCATGTGGGACCTGAGGTGTGAGTATCTGCAGACCTGGAGAAGGCATGGGTTGGCAACAATGGAGTGGCATGCTTGGAGTGAGAGCAGCTTTCACAGAGCCTTCAGCAGGCGGCTGTGTATCTGTGACCTTCTCAAGGGGCGAGAAGAGAACTCACCAGGAACTCTGTCTTTTCCTCCCTCTCCCCCTTCCTCAGGTGGTCTTTGCTTTGAATCAGACTCTCTTGCATCAGGAGAGCCTCCGAACAGGCAGTTTCCAGATCCCCTATACGACAGAAGACCTTATCAAGCATTACAACTGTGGGGACCTCAGCTCCATCATCTTCAACCATGACACTTCTCAAGTGAGTCTTGCCATCGCAGCCCTTGTACTACACATATGTCCCTGTAGCACGAACCACTGTCTTACTCATGCTCATACCTTCTCAGGTGAGCCCTTTGCAGGCAAGGGCCATGGGCACATCGCTGGCTCCCTGGCGTGTCCACTTTCTTGCACCTCCTGTCCTAGGAGTCTGCACACCTCACCCCTGGCTTGCTGCATGCAAGCAGTGAAGATGCACGTGGCTTTCTCTTTTGGATTAGTGTTTGCTTTGGTGTCAAAGCTCTATGAGTTAATCCTTTATTTTCTTAAGGATCGTGTGGAATTACACTAGCTTAGGTATCAGCAAATTTAGTGCCAACAGAGAGCAGCAGCAGGCTCTTTTGTGCAAATAGCAACAGAGAAACGCACTCATGTCTTGGATGCTTATGTAAGGCTGGGCAAGTGGCAAGCGGCAAGGTTTTTAATGTCCCCTATCCATATGACTGTGTAATGTGGGCAAGGCCCAAGGAAGAGACATGGATTCAAACAGAAAAGATAGTGTGAATGTTAAGGGAAAGAAAACCTTCTGAGGCCTCACGGACTTGGTTTATGGAGATGGTTTCCTAAGCAGCACAGTGGAATACAGTGCTCTGATCTTTAAACCATGAGACAACGCCCAGCAGGGATCAATTTGGCCTTTTTGGGCTGTTAGATTAGCTAACCTCGGACTTTAGACATCAGGCTTCTCTATTCTCATCCATGAGGTACTGCCTGGCAATTCATGCACATCAATGAAATCATAGGCTCTAGCCTCACAGTACTGAACAAGTGACTGCTGATACCTGGCCTTTCCCTGATGAATATCAATTTTTCTAGGGCCTTTTGATATATATGGTCTGGTTCTGTGGAGCTGGAAATACTGTCATACTAACCCTTACTTCTCCGGCACTGAGCTTTGTGTGAGTGTTGTTACCTTCCTCTCCTGCACATGCTTCAGCCTGTAGGTTCAGGCAACCTGGTTGTTAATACTGCTTAGCTTGTACATAGTGCATTTCATTCATACATTTCAAAAGACTCAAAGGAGGCCAGCACTGTAAAAGCATACAGATGTTGCATCACTATTCTGCTGAGGTGTTACAAACTGCAGACAGCTGGTGTTGCCTTGAGGTCCTTGGAGAGAACAGCTCTTGTCAAGACATGCATGTCTCTGAGGGAGCAACTGCCCTTTACTAACATGAGGGGCTCCACTGCAGACCACTCTTCCTCACAGCAGAGCTGACTAGTAATACTCTACAACACTGTCAGCTTACGTATTTAAGCAGAACTTCTCTGTAAATTGTATTTGACCCCATGCCTGCCCTGCAGATGACCCACTGTGGGCTAAGAACCCTTTGGAAACAGTCCATAATAGTCTGAGTGGCTCCAGACCCTCTTCAGCTGCCACAGCCTTGCAAGGTAAAGCACCTGGCTTAGTGGCTCTGCTCCCCAGAAACCACCACTTGCAGGCCCTTTCCCTAGCAGTCCCAGTAGCTGCAATGCCAAAAGCCAAAAGCCAAGAAGCCAAAATGGCTGCAACTCCAGACCTATGTTTCTCTCCACTAGCAAGAAATCAGGGTAGTGTGCAGCACATCTGTCCTGGGGGCCCCAGGGGAGGAAGAGAGTTTTAAAAAATACCTTGAGGAACAGGCTAATACATTCTTTCCTAACAAAATCTGGCCCTCTTTCTTTTAGAAAGTTTGGGGATGTTTTTGTTAACTACTTAAAATTGCACAGCTATTCTTTGACAGCCTGAGGGCTCTGATACCAAACTCACTTAGAAGAGTGCAATTATCGTCATAGTTATGTCATACCAATGGCAATCTAAGGAAGACGTATCCAGCTAAAGATAGCCAAGGGCAAATATTTACTTTCTTCAGCCGAGCATTTAGGATATGGGATCTACAGTGTAGCAAACTGATAATGTTTGTTGATTTTGCAGAAAAAAAAAAATCAGCTGGCTGGTTTATGAAATTATATGTTGAGAGAAATGAAGCACTATGCATTATTAGAAGTTTGTCATTTCTTACCTTTCTTTGAGTTTTGTGCTACTGGATGTGCCTTGAGGGACAAAGTGATTGCCACATTCAATGATGGAGCAAAATGCCTCTGCATGAAGGCTGCCTATGAAATAAATGCCGCTTTCATGAAGACATTTTTTTTTTCCTACCTTAGGTCCCAAATTTCATTAATGCTACACTTCCGGCCCATGAACGCATTACTGCCCAAGAGATAGACAGCTACTTCCGTCAGGAGCTCATCTACAAGAGAAATGAGCGAATGGGCAGGAGGGTGAAGGACCTGCTGGAAAAGTACCCAGACAAGAGTTTCTTCTTTGCATTTGGAGCTGGTACGTGACTGAGGTGCCCTTCAACCTGAACACATTCGTCCCATGTCCATTAGAAGCTTTTTACAAATGCTTCCCTCATTTTAAAGAAGGGTCAGTAATTTTACCATGGTGGACACAGAACACAGCTTTGTCCTGATAGATGTGCCCTGGTAGGGAAACTTTTTCAGAGTAGAAAACTGTTTTTCTTCAGCATGCAAAAAGCTCACAGTGTATGCATTGATTACAGTATTCATTAGTTACAGACTTATATGTGTAGCCAAAGATACTGAACCAACTACAATGCATACACATTGTGTATGCATCTCTTAGACATCTCTTAGACATATGTGTCTGGCCACCCAGGCCAGAAGGGTAGGAGAAATAGGGAGCTGAGATGAAAGGCAGCAAGTCAGAGGTTGCACCAGTGCTGGAATAAACCTTTCAGGAATACACCCATAAGAATAATGTGCCGAATTGTGTGAATCTAAGGGGCTCAATAAATGCAAGAGGAGAGACAAGGCACACTTTCATCTTCCTCTTCCTGCTTCAGCTCCTTATCTCTTTCACTGCGTTTCCACAACTACAAGGAAATCGCATCGGACACTACTTTGGAGCAGAGCATTGGGCCCAGTTGGGGAAAACTTCCATTTTCTGCATCTTAGCAGTCAGAAAAAAAAAACATCCAGCAGCACATCTAACTCAGTGAGGTTAACACTCACACTTCAGACTAGGGCTGGGTGGAGGGTGTAAACAGGTTTGGTTTGCCATTACTCCTATCCCTTGTTCTAGCTCCAGGGAAAGGAACAACTGAGGATCAGTCTTTGAAAATACAGGTGCTGATTCCCTGAGAAGTATCACATCCCCTCCACTGTGAACCATATGGACCTTGGGAAAGGGGAAGAAATGGAATTGGTGTCAGGCTCCACGTGATGTTTTCTGGTCTCAGTGGCTATTGTTTTAGTGAGGATGGGAGATCTAGACAAGGTAAAATATTTACTTAAACCCTCTAAAAGCATTGGTATTCAAAGTCTACGTGAAATCTCCTTCCTTACAACAGGGAGTTGTGCTTACAAATTTAAAATAACAAGGGTCCTGAGTGTGACAGCAAGAAGGTAATGAAAGATGGCTGATAATGTCTGTTCAGGCATGCATGAAGATTGTAATGTCACAGATGCTGGGGCTGCAGTGACTGGGTCACAACTGAGTGATGAGCAGCCCATGCAAATAGATGTCTTTATTGTCATTAGTGTGCATAGCTCTGCTCCAGAGCCCAGAAGCACTGCAGGAGCAGGACAGATCCCTGTCCTTCCCAATCTCTCTCGTTCTCAACCTTGATGACAGGCCTAAAAACCTTGCCAGGCTTTCTGGATTCTTGCTTTGCTTTTCCTCTTATTTTCCTTTTCCCAGTTGCCCCCTTCTTTGTCCTCTAATTGCCTCCTCCAGCAGAGCAGAGTTAGGATTCACCCAACACTCCTATACTGCAGCACTACCTGGAGCTTTGGGCCTATATGAACGCCCTTGATCTATGGCCTATGTACACATGGCTTGATCTCCAAGCACCAGGCATGCTCTTAGTGTGCTTTTCCATCATACTTTTGAATCCAGACAGGTTCCCTTTCTTCTCTGGGGACTCTAGATTGACTTTGAAATGTCTCTAATTGCACTCTGGCTTTGATACCAGTCTGGCCTCTGTTCTCATCTGCTCTTCCAAATAGCTCTGCTCAAAGAACAGTGCCAGCCTCTCACTTTTAGCAGCACAATTCCTCATGATCCCCTTGTTTGACTGCATGGGGGTTTCTTTCTTTTTTTTCTTTTTTTTTTTTTTTTTTCAATTTGTTTCATATTAATTGTCTAAATGAGAAGTAACATCACAGGATATAATGCAGAAAACAGATCAATTTCTGCACGGTTCTGAGGTTTTCTGAGTGTACATCACAAATGTGAGTGCTGGCTTTTATTGTTTTCCAGCAAGCTAATTTAACCTTTTGCTTATCCAAATTGCTGTATGTGATAGATAATTATGTGGGAGATTTATTTTTATGCCAGCAAGCAGAAGATGAACAGTGTGTTCAGTTTTGACCATTGCTTGAGTATTGTACTGTTGTTAATTACTGGAAAAGGGTTCCAGGAAAGTGCTTGCACAAAGCAGGTTAGAATGAGATGTAGAATAAAAAGAGAGAAAGAAAAGCTGTAGGAATGGGACTAAATCATCACTGCATTGTGCTTTTCCCTTTGCTGGCCACCAGTGAAAAAAAAATCTCCCAGCAGTGGCTGCTAAACTGCAGGACAACGTTGTGTTAAAATGGTGGTAGGATATTGAAGGATCTCCAGGTTAGAAGGGGAGAAGACTTTTAGTTGTTTCTTTCCAGGTTTTTTCACCCTATGTTTTTTTATTTTTAAAAGGGTTAAGCTTTTTGAAAGGGAAGTTAATTTTTTTCCATTAACCAAACACCATTGAAAAAACACTTTTATCATCAGTTATATCCAAACAAGGTCATGGTTTGTGGGTGACTGTGGTATTACAAATACCCCCTCTTGTTATTTAAACTACTCCTTGTATTTTTATTTGAAATGGGGGAAAATCAGAAAAGATTTATAATTTGTTTTATATTCCAAGTGGATTGATGTGGTTTAGAGATATGTAATACATTGTGCAAAAAAAAAAAAAACTCCCATCTCTTTTCAGGTCTCAATACAGCTGCATGGCTATAGATATTGATTTCTTACATGGAATTACATGTGACAATTTGGACTGTAATAGATTTGATCATTAGATTCTGTGTATTTTATGCTTTTACTACGTTTTAACAGACCAAACTCTCACTTTATTGTGTTGAAGGCATTTCACAGTCAGAGCTCAGTTCTGGAACTATTTTTGTTTGGAAGTAATTTAAGCTTGCACAAAAGGAGAGATAAAAAATACCAGATTGCTGAAACTATACAAAAAAGCTTTGTTTCTCGCCAAAGTGCAAACATGGAAAGTTTCAAGCCAAGATAGGTCTGTTTGAGGGAATTGAAGGAAAGTATGGCAAGAGAGAGATGGTCATGCCAGCAGCATTCCACTAGGTTCAGTAAGGATTTTTTCTTAATTGTGGACAGGCCTGTTTGTATGGCAGCACTAGCGTTACAAGCCAGACCTACTTCTTGTTGCCAGTGGAAGAATTTGTGAAGCAAAGCCAGCTATAGTCTTTCACAAGCAGTCTTCCTGCTATATGCATTTTAAAATTCTCTGCACCGTAAGTGGATCATTCAGGATCTGAGTGCTACGCCAAAGTGATGGCGCATGTGATTCCATAGACATCCAGATAGATAGCACTACATGTTTCTGGTTTTCCTAAGAGGTGCACATTGATGTAGAGCGGGCTGCATTGTCCTAATCTGGTATGGAGAGTTTTGCCACTTGTACAGGTCTTACAAGAATGCTGCCTGCTGGCTAAACCTTCACAGAATCATGGGATAGTTCAGGCTGACAGGGACCTCTGGAGCGCTCCCCTGTTCAGAGCAGGATCATATAGAGCAGTTTTCCTAGGACAGAGCCTGATCACGTATCTGCAAGGATGGAGACTCCAGAACCTCTCCAGGCAGCCTATTCTAGTCTTTAACCACTCTCACAGGAAAAAAAGCTTTCTCTTGTGTTTAAGTGGGATTTCCTCTGTACCAATTTGTGTTCATTGCCTCTTGTCCTTTCATGGGGCACCACTGAGAAAAGTTCTGCTCCATCTATTTTACAATATCCTGTCAGGTATTTATAAATCAATTATAGCCTTTTGTGAGCCTTCTTTTTTCCAGGCTAAACAGTCCCAGCTCTCTCAGCCTCTCCTCATATGAGAGATGCTCTAATTGTTCATCATCTTTGTGGCCCTTTGCTGGACTCTCTCCAGTACGTCCACATCTCTTTTGAACTGGGGAGGCCAGAGCTAGACACTGGACCTAGATGTATGTCACCAGGGCTGGGGATGCTGGCAACGCTCTTACATTGGCCTTCTTTGCCACAAGGGACATTACTGGCTCAAGATCAACTTGATGACCACCAGGATGTCACATCATTTTCTGCCAAGCTGGTCTTTCAGCCAGTTGGTGCCCAGCCTGTCGTGGTGCTTGGAGCTATTCCTGCCCAGGTGCAGGACTTGGTTTGCTAAACTTCATGAGCAAAGATTCTCTTATCATAAATCCATACTGACCCCTCCCAATCATCTGCTCGTCCCTAACACATGTGGAAATGGTTTGCAGAATAATTTACTCCATCACCTTCCCCAGGAATAGAGGTGTGTCTGACCAGTTTGTAGTTTCCTGGATCCTTCTTCTTCCCCTTCTTGAAGATAGGACTGATACTTGCTTTATTCCAATCCTCAAGGACTTTCCCCAATTGCCACAACCAGATAATTAAGAGTGGGCTCACAGTGGACATTGGGAAGCTCCCACAGTTCCTCTGGGTGTGTTCTATTGGAATTTGTACGTGACTCGTCTGTTGGAATGTGCCTTATCCTTCTTTGCCCTAGACTTTCTGTCTAGGAACCTGAGATGTCTGAAAGCTGGTTTTACCATTAAAGAAGGTGACAATAGCACTGAGTACACTGGCCTTTTCCATATGCTTTGTCATCAGGTCTCCTGCCCTGCCCCCTTCAGCACTGGGATGACATATGTCTAGACTACATTTTACTGCTGAGGTATCAGTAGAAGCATTCCTTGTTTCCCTTGATGTTTCTCATCAAAGTCAACTCTAAATGGGCTTTCCTTAGGCATGGTCACTTTTTTTTCCAGGATGAGCATGGCTTGTTTGCTTTAGCTTACTTACAGTTTTTGTTGAAGCTGCTAAAGAATAAGAGATGGAGAAAAAAAAGGAAGACGTTTGGTTTGGGTTGGGTTTTGTGCAGGAGGAAACATGCTTAGTGGCATGAGATTCTGACTTTATTATGACAGGCAAGGCATCAGGTGAAGCCAGACTTTCTAGGAGCTGAGTTTAAGTTCCCTCCAGTCTTTCCTGCCTCTTTGAACAGCTGAGAAGCTTCAGAAGTGCCAGC